GTCTCTCTGCCGCCATCCGAGGACGGTCTTTCGAGTCAGGCACCCGAGAATGCTGACACCTCTGCCCTTTCCACCGCCTCTGCGACGTTGGGTGGCCCAGTGGAGAGATCCCTCCATGACGAACTTCGGAACCCTCACCCGCGGCCCCGTACCATACCCCAGCCCGCGGCTGCGAATGCGGAGAGGTTCGACTGCGGCGCCGTTCACGCGTCTCGACCTTGCTATAGGTGCGTCGCGTATATGCATTCAGTGGGCATCAGACGCGTGTTCTGGACGAACGAGGAGGGCGAGTGGGAGGGAGGGAAGGTGAGGGATTTGGTCGATGCGCTGGAGGGGTCCGGGGCTAGCGCTGTCGGGGACGAAGATGGTGAGGGATTGGGTGGACCGACGGGGAATGGAGTGTTTGTTACCAAGCATGAGGTTCTAAACCTCATGCTTAGGCGATTGATGGGGGATCAGAAGAAGTAGTACACTGGGTTGGAACGGGCTCTGTTGAAATACGACTGTTGAGACGATGGTGGTTTGCGGTCTCGATGAATGGATCGTAGCCGAACAACGGCTCTTTCCGACGCAACAGGATTCTAAGCTGGAGGTGATGGGACACTGATGCGTGTCTCTTTGGGCCTTGGCGAGTTCACGGGTTCGGTCGGTCTTTGGAATTCTTGCCCGTGGTGGTGGTGGATTGTCCGAAACGTCCACCTTGGTTTAAGAGCCCGACAAATGGCTTCTTCTGCCCTTTGGAACAAGCTCGTCTTCTAACCGGGTGTCTGGTGACCTCTTCGACATGGTGTTTCCTCTTCGTGAGCATGCTTGTGAAGGATAGAGTAATATGTTACGAGACTTCTATATCCTCTTCTACCCTTGGCTGGTAGAGGCGGTAAAGAAAAGGCATGATGAAATGTTGGTATATTGAGGAGGACATGTAGAGAGGAATGGGTTTTCACTGTCTATGCCCGTCGACTCTTCGACGATTAGCCTTGGGAGCTGATACGATTGATGGGGCGGTCATCCTCGTCTTCGCTTGATTCTTCACCATCACATCGATCGTGACCGCCCAGGCATAAGTTTGCGGCCATCTAGCAGGATTGTATTATAGTCCCTATAGAGAGAGCCAAGACGTTTCTGCTAACGAGTGAGTAACTGGGGTGCAAAGGAAGAGGCGTTAGCAGGCCGGAAGGGCCGGGAAGCATAGCTGACGGCGGGAGACAGTATCTTGGTTTGCATGGGAGGCGTTCTCATGAGGCGAGTGTTCTGACGTGTAGAGTAACATCACAATGCAGCAGTAAACCCAACGTAAGCTACATGTGGAACACACATCCATCATGGGTTGCTAATGTTGCTGGCCCTCCCCTCAGCGACACGTGCAAAGGCGCTCAGCATCTGGACTAGTTGGATCTCTTGGTACTCGCATGATTCTGGTCTCGACTCGCGACAGCGGCCGGCCCCGTTTGGCTGACTGCCACTACCACCTGAACATGTCTTGCTCTGCTGCCCTCGATATAGGGAGGCTACTAACGAACAAAGGAAGCTCGACGATAGAGCAAGCCAGATGCTGTGCAGGAAAGACTTCGACTTGCAACAGGCACGTTGACGGCCTCTCATCCTCCGGTAGTGGATGCTTGCTGGTCCTCCTCATGCTCGTCGTACCATGCTATCGAGGCAGTGCATCGCTCGTTCTTATCGAGGGCCGCCGGCGCAGTCTGAGCTATTGGGATATCGCCCTCTTCTTCACCGTCGCGGTCGTCCCTTGGTCGGTTTGTTCTAGTCATCACGTTGCTGGTGTATGTGGCTTTCTTCGTCCAATTACAGAACGTATCTCGGTGCAGCTTAGACGGCGGGTTGTCGATATGGGCTTTGTGAGCCAGCCGCCATGGGACTGCTTTATCTGCTTTCCCGCGCCTCCAAACAGCTGCTCGAAGGGCTTGAGAGCATGCAGGTTGTAGCATGGACCGGAAGATGCATGCCGATCCCATCCCTGAACATTCGGGTTCGCGTCGCTCGCGTTCTCTAGCTTGCCATCGAGCTAGTCCGCAAAGGTGTTTCCAATCGCCACCGCTGAACTAACACACCTTCGAAGCCACTCTGTTAGGTCACCACTAGGGATGGCGAAAGAGATTCTGATGCCTACGCGAGCAGCGTCATCTGAGGGGACGGATGAGCTCGCCCAAGAACTTGTGTGTTCTCGGCCTTGCGGCGTCATGTTCAGATCTGTAGCTGGACGGTCATCTATCCCAAAGCGGATTAGTAGACGAAAGGGCAAGTGGACAGGGCAAATCTGACAGCGAAGGCGGAGGGCATGTTATATTATCATTCCTGCCGTTAACAGGGTGCAGTGAAATTGATGTAAGTTACGATGTGTCGATAGAGGAGCATCAAGAAGAGGTTGGAGGAGGAGAGTCTGTGGGTCTGAACAAATAGTGGTAGACATATTTACAAGTCTACCATTACCCTTTCTTTAGATATGCTCAGCCTCTCCGGCATCTTGGTGTGGCATATCTGATAGTGTTCAGCCCGTTACCGTTGTCGCCAACACCTCGTCCCGTCCCAGATTGGTCAGCTTGTACTTGGAGATGAAGTCGTCGCGGTTGACGTAGGCGCCGCAGAGACGTCTCTTGCCGTTGAAGCTCGAGCGGCCATGCAGTACGCGCCAGTTGTCGAAGACTGGTAGGAAGAAACGTGTCAGTAACGTAGTCGTGCTTGTCACGTAAGGGATTAGACACGGATGGATGGAGGGGTCGCTTACTCAAGGGCGTGCCAGGACGCAGCTGCTCCCAGTACTGGTATTCGGGCTTGTTCAGTATCGCGTCGAATTTCCTATGCGCGACGTCTTCGTCAGCAAACTAGTCGTCCTGTCTATCCTGACCCCATGAGGGTGGAGTGGTTGTGCAAGAAGGGCTTGGGTACAACTTACGCAGCAGCCTCATACCAAACATCCACCTCTCCCAAAGGCAACTCGATTCCCGCCCTATCCGCATTGTTCCACCTCACCTGAACTAAATGCCCGTGGTACGGATCGTGCACAAGGACAGGGAATGAAGTGTACGGCTGCACGCTGACATCCTCATTGCCGCTGGCGTGAGAGTACACGCCCACGGTACTGAGGATCTCGTAGCTGCGCTTGTCGGTCATGTATAGTTCGAACGCAGCGGCGAAACCGTCGACGAGCAAGGAGGCGCCACCGCTGCCAGAAGTGTGTGAGAGAAGGTGGAAGAGTTGAAGGCCGGCGGGTTCGGAGAAGTAAGTCGTGTCAGTGTGAGCTTCGAGCGCGAGGGTGGTGTAGGCAGTGTCTGTTGACGTTGTGTTAGCGTATTGATTCAGGGAACAAATGAGGGCAAATATACAAACCCTTCGACGACAGGTCAGATGTAAAATCCCAGAAGCCGCCTGAGAAACCGGATCAGTTTTTGCTTCATGGCTGTTCGTGCCGTGGTTGTGCTGCCATACCGTAATGAGTGTGGCGAATTGGCCCAATCCGCTCAACGAGCTCTTGTGTCGCCTCGGGGCTGACGGGGCAGTTTTTGATATAGCAGAACCCATGGGTACGCTGCTTTCCGTCAACTTGTGCTTGGGCTGGACTTTGAGGGGACGTACTATTTGCGAGGTCCAAGCAGCCATGCCCTTCTCGCTTGTGAGGTCCGCATGGTCCACGGTCGGCGGCTTCTCCGCTATGGATCTGTCGAAAAGTCGGATGCTGGGTATGGTCAGCAGAGGGGTTTGCATGCAGTCTCTTTTCCACTCACTCTGTCAGTCCTTGTTGTGCTGCGTGGGTATCCGGCGATCCTTTCTTGATAAAGAGGGACTGAGGGTAGACACTCTTGTGGCCATCCGACCCTGTCTGTCGGTGAGTACTGGCTGTTGATCCTGTTGTGGGAACGTACATTTGACACAAAGTTTTGTCTTGTCGCTCCAACCGTCCCATTGGCAATCAGTGATCTTGGTCTGTGGACTGATCTGCCGTGTCTGCGTTGGTATCCTACGAGCCCTTGAGATGTTCATTACCATACCTTGAAGGTTTCCAGCTGCCTCTGTTTGGTGTCTGGGTGGAAGCATTTCTCGCACTGACACTGATCTCTGTGTGGAATAAGCACACTATCACAGACACTGTGAATGGGGCATTGTATGAACCTCAACCATCTCGGCGAACTGTTAGGCGTTAGCATGCGTTGGAAACCCCTGCGTGTTGTACGAACTCACACTCTGACCATCGCATCTTTCTTCGTGTCCCAGACCTTCAAGTCCGCGCCATCCCAAGAAGGAAGTAGCTGTTCCTTTTGCTTTGTACCCAATGCTTTGGCATAAGGTAAGGGCCTCTATGGAAGCGTCTATCAGAACGTGGCCTTTACATTTATGATGGTGGAACTTCGACCTTCTCGACGCCTTCTGTACTGGAGCGAGTAATACTTGGAGTGATGTTCGGACGAAGACCTTGAGAAACTGTTCGTGATGGAACCTTATGCAAAACAGACCGCGAAGAGCGCGTAAATGCCGCATATGCAGACGCCTGCCTGATACACCTAGAAGTCATTGTAGAAACAAAACGAACGCCAGGCAAATGCTTCAACAAAAGCTACAGGTTTGCGAGAGATGTGCTCAATTGAGGCCTGATGCTGGACGCGGCGTGGATCCGATTCACCGCGGACTCGACTCGACCCGACCTCGGCTGACAGCAAGAGATCAAGCTGAAAACACGAGCAGCAGATCAATTACCATCTCCATACTTCCATCCATAGCCTGCGTATCAAACTCAGAACACGCAGTAGCAATAAACCGTGAATGACGAACGACGAATGCGCAGAATGGTAATCCTTCGCTTCTAGGATATAGCAAGATGGCAAGGCATTGCATTGCGTTCCGGCGCCTGGGCCAGCAAACCAAGACCGATATGGAAGCTGACTAAAGGGTAAAAAGGGAAACATCCGCCTTCATGTGACTAGGGATGTGCTAACCCAAGATCTCACTACCCTCACCCAGTCGAGTATAATCACAAAAGAAGGATTACGCGACACCGATGGGACTCGAACCCACAATCTTTGCCATGTCCTGAGACCGGAAAGCAACGCCTTACCATTAGGCCACGGTGCCTTTGCTGCAGAGACACTGAAAGCAAAAAATAATACTGTTCAAAAACTTCCACTCTGGGTGAGGAGGGTCATGCGGAGGTGCGAAGACAAGCTGACCGTCAACCGAGGAAACCGGGCCAACCACACTGTTCCGGCGTCCGTGATCCACCAAAAGACGATTCAGCACGAGCATGCGTCTCTCTTGTGGCTGGCTATGCACGATACTGTGTTGTACGTGTTCGCCAAGGGATTTCCACGGAACCATTGCCGTCAAGCCAAAATTTATCTCCCTCGGTGCCTATCTTCACCCGGGCCGACTGTGTACATGAATACGTGAATGACCCGACGGCAGAATTAGGAAGGGATGGACCCCGGCTGTGAAAGTATCGTACGGAACACTCTGTAGAGACCAGATGCCCAAGAGAAGTTCCCCAACCCCTGAGGACGCTCGAACGGCAAAGAAATCACGACGTTATCTTTACAATACAAACTTCGGGAAGAACTCATTTGAGACCTTATTTGCTTGACTTCCGGGGTTCGTAAGTGGTTCAATGCTACGCGTTTGATGTTGTTGTTCACTGAGATGAGATTATCACGGTGCAAAGCGCTCGAACAGAATCTGTACTAAAACACGTCCGCGGTGTACCTAGGTACCGTTTCCGTGCACAGCCGGCTCTATGTACGAGCGTACGAGCTCCGAAATGTTGTGCCCAACAGAAGAAAGGTACTTTGTCTTTTTCCCAAGTCTTCAGGATCATGCGCAGACTCAGTCATGGATCGCTGCGCAAGATTACATCGTAATGCGCTCGATTGTGGAGAGGAACCAGGCAGGGAAAGCAAGCAGGCAGGCAGGGCAGGCAGGTCACCTCCAAAATGGCACGGATTCCGTTCCCATTGGATGAAGCATGCAAATGGAGTCGAGACGATGGCCGGGCTACAGACAGAGATCTCCGAGCATAAACTTGTTGTGTACGGCACAAAGTGGGATGAGATGGACAACCTTTATTGGGACAAACAGAGTGTGTCTAATTATTAATGCGATACGCACCGATGAGACAGCTGAAGCATCCGTGGGGCTTGCCGTGCCTTGTATGCCGGACCGTCTTCGTGTCTTTGCGTAGGCAGTCTAGGCAGATGGTGTGGGCTTTGCTAATGCTAGGGGCGGGCGACCGAGCGACCAAGAGGAGAGACACGGAAGAGATTTTGTCGGAGCCCTCTGAGGCCGCGCGCATCGCTAAAAGTTGATTTTTCGGGTTGGCGCTGGTCACTGGCAGCAGGCTCTGACGAAGCCACGCATAACCACAGGATCCGTCTCACCCCTTCTGCAAACCATACCTCGATCGCACACACACCCGCTGGTGCAGTCATCGCCCAATCCACTCCTACCACTAATGTACCCAGCACACTGACACTGGCACCGACACCGACACTGACTCCTCCCGCTCCTCTCCTTCTTCCCTCTCTCCTCTTTCTATCCGCAAAACCCTTCCTCCCTCCTCCCATACCACCCTCTCCATATCGCTGGCAAGGCGCAATCTCAGGGCCCGCTGACCCTTGCCTGCCCGCTGCGCAGCTTCATTTCGGCTCCCTTAACCGGACAATCCCTCGCCGAGAGGAGCGACGTTGCGATCCACCCCGAAAAGAGAAGCCTACACATCAGCCAGACTTGCGTCGTCAGCTTAACGCTGACGCTCACTTCTTGACTGACTGCCTGTTCTCTCTTTCGAACCGCTTGTTGTCCGCAAGCCCTCATCGCCGCCTCAATAGCAAACGCAGTTCGCCCGCCCAGACTCTTCGAGCCGGCTACTTGTGTATTCCGTACCTCCGGTGGCTGTGACCCCAAGGCCGCGCATCCTCTAGCAAACCACAGACACGATCAGTTGTTATTTTACGACACGTCTTTACGACCCGACTGCGCCTCCCACTACCATCGTTGCACGGCTGTCACCACTGCTTTGTCCGCATCGCGCAGCACGCATTCTGTTTCGCCCGCTCCGTATCATCTTACAACGCGAGCTGAAACATAACTCACTCGAGGACGACCTATTCACTTAGCTTCGCCTCCACCCACATACTCACACTTCACCTCACCTCGCACGTGGTTGCCTTTGTCAGATCGCCGAATAACCTCTGCATCGTCGCTGGCATCGATCTTTCGACAAAACACACCTCATTGCTCCTACACACATCTTTCCATCGCTCGTCTGACTAACACATCATCGCGATCCGTACTTTGCCAACACCATCATCCATCCGCGTCTCTATTGCTTTCGGTGCATGCAAGGGTCTTACTAGAAGCACCTAGAGCAGGAGCTCTTTGCTTCACGGAGAAGAGCAAAAGAAACGGTTCGTTGATCGCCGCACCTCCTCTTTGCTTCCAGCTAACACAAAACCCAGCGTGTGCACTCACACCGTTTCTTTTCCTCTTTGGCACCCATCGCCAGAATCATGCCGTCGTTTTACCCTCGCACCATGGCCAGCCAGATGCCTCTCACTCCGCCCGATTTCGTACCGGCCTACGATCACGGTTGTGGAGCGATGCAGTACCCTCAAGACCCATACATGGCGCAACACACTATGGGATCGCGACATGATAACGGTTATGATTTCTCCAGAGGCTACACGCAGTCAACCACCGGCTCCAACCAACAAAGCCTCTACCACGCCGCTGGCAACTACCAGACCAACCACAGTCTTCCACCCATCAGCAGCTACTACGAGCCAATGGGCGCACCGATCCTTCCCCTTTGAGAATCCAGGATCGCATGGCAATGGAGGACGAATACCGCCTTCAGATGCAGGAGCATCGTAGCCAGGCTGCGCAGCAACAAGCACAGCAGCAAGCCCCGAAAGAGGAGAAGGCAACCGGTGGTGTGTCGGCCAAGCTTGACTACGACATGGAACGTATGACGGATTTCGTTTGCGAAGCCGCACAAGGATTGTATGCTCTCCACCGCTCCCAGCTCTGCCTTGCAGATATTGACATCATTCGAAGCATTCCACTAGGCGCACCGCAACAGACACCCTTCCGCAAATGGGTCGCACAAGTTCTTTCTGCCACACGTCTGCCGTCGGCTACCATCTTGTTAAGTTTGCACTATCTGACAGTCCGCATGCGAGAGCATCCGAAGTCTGTTGGAACGTCTGACAACCAGATCTATCGCCTTCTGGCTGTTGCTCTCATCCTGGGCAGCAAGTTTCTTGACGACAACACCTTTATCAACAGATCTTGGTCTGACGTGAGTGGCATCAAAGTGTCCGAGCTCAACGTGCTTGAGATTGAGTGGCTTGGCCTCATCAACTACGACCTTCACTGCGATCCGACCGACCAGAATGGTCTGTCGATGTGGCTCAGAGGTTGGAAGGAGTACGACGAGCGCGCCACCAGCAAGGCTCGGGCTACCAGGCTCTCTCCGATCAACACAAGCCTTCAGCGTCAGTCATCTCTACGCAACGCTTCGCCTTACCAGCAACAATATGCGAAGGGCCCGCACGGAGAGTTCACGCCTCTGTCTGCCAGACCTTCCTCGCTCTATTCTGCTGCGTCATACGCTTCCGCTGACCCGTGGAACCGGTCTGAGCCTACTGGCGTCGAGGCTTTCTACGGCAACCAGCACCGCTACCCGACTCTTGACGAGCTTGAGCGCACTAGCCGCGTCTCGGCTCAAGAGCAAGCTCGTCGTTCAGCATACGTTTACAACCTCCCGCCGCTGCAGTCATATGCTCCTAGTGGCTACGTGTCCTCGTGGGGTCAGTCTCCCTGGAACAGTGTTCATCCATACGGTTGCAACTGCATGAGCTGCTCGCGTCAATACACTCCCTACTCCATGGCTCCTGGATACGGTGTGCAGACTGTTGCTGGCTAGATTGGACCATATCCATTTCAACACCGTTCATGTCCATCTTTGGGGACATCCATACACTGGCCTTGTCCTTGCTCAGCATTAGCGGTCACGTTATTCGCATCTGCGGTACTTTCCCGGCACGTCATTTGAAGCAATTCATGGAGCGATTTCCTGGTCACCAAAAGTTCGGTTGCTACTTGTTCATACTTTCCAGTGCGTGTTGTCCCATCTTATCTCGAGATGTCACGGCTTGTACCTGGTTTCGTTTCGGTTTTCTTCGTTTTCTTACTTTTGCATACGGCTGTTCCAGACAATCTGCGCGCGCCTAGATTTCTCTCACTGCCTTTTCGACTGTTTTAGACTTGATTGTGCTTTTCTGGGAGGGAACGGAAAGCGGCAATATGGGTTTTCGCATATGGAGGACTTGGTTGGCGCGGCGTTCCGGGAGACGAAAAAATATTTCTTTACTTTTTCTGCTGGCTGGGCGTTTTTGTTTACTGGAGGGCTGTGATACTCCCTTTGCGCGCTCTTTTACGATTACCCCAGCTGGGAACGGTATACGGAGGCCGGCGCATACTTTGCAGGGTCACAAGGAGGATGGTTGTAATTGTTTTTGCTGCGCGGCTTATTTTCAAGGGATGGCTAGCTCAATGGCACGGTCACGGCAGGATAATCTCCTGTCGACCCTGGCGAGGTTCACTTCAGATAGATGAATACATTGCAGGAGGATTTCTCCAGCAACATTTTGCGCACACCTTTCATTGGATCAAGACAAACGACTACGGTTTTTGAACATGTTGTTTTGGCTAATGAGACTTCCGTTTCATACAGTTCCACGTCTTTCCTGGTTCTTCGCTTCTTCTATCAAAGCAGCGCTCTCAGTCCCACGTCTCGCCCGACTCGGTTTCTGCGCCTCTATAACACCCTCATGCCCGTGGAGCTGTGGTCTTTTCTCGTTCTCCTCGGGCTCTTCTCGAATGGTATCAGCAAGTCGTGCGTCCCTCGATTGCCGTTTTGAATCTACCAGTCTCTCGCCTATGGACATCTTCCGGGGCTGTTCGTTCAGGCTGAAAGTCGTCGATAATGGACTGTGCAGAGTGGTGCTCGTCCTAGTTGAAGCCAACGTCGTCGTTCCATGTGAACCACGCTTGGGTACGATGACTGGGAAGTCTGTACT